CAGCCTACAAAACGAAATCAGTACAGTTTAATAAAGTAGTTTTAAAAAGTAGTAATAATGGCTGATGATTTATTAACCCACTTTTTCGTCAAACCCCGTCATTTCGCAATTAATAAATTATAACCAGAGAAAAGAATGTACTGAAAAATAATAATGGTAGGGAATTAAAGGAATTTATTTATTTATTTTTTTTTTATATATGATTTTATGATTTTGAAGAAGTAAACATAAAGGACATCAGAAGAAAGTCACAGACTATAAAGCTTTCTTGGCGAACGAAAATGACACTATTTATTAACAATTTTTTTTTTATGATTCGTAAATAGGCACGTGTTCTAAAAATGTTAATTTGTTTACGATCTCTTGGACCAATAATTTGAAAATCTCGTTTGCAAATCTCTTTAATCCATTTCCTTTTTGAAATCTTCATTTTTCGAAATCTCTAAAAACGTGTACATAAATTCATAATATACTATAATAAAATAATTGGTGCATCTAAAATGTTTCAAATCTTAATTAATTGCTCAATAAATCGCATTTGATCTTTAAAAAAAAAAAAAAAAAAAAAAAAAAAAAATCCTTTGGGGCAGATTATTTAATTACGAAAAACAAATGGACGCTCAAACCACAATTTCGATCCAATTTCGGAACCAACTAATATCAAAATATTGTACAAAAAAAAAAAGGGCGGAATTTAATAGAATTAGATGTTCAAATGTGGCAAAGAAATCACACAAACATTGACAATGCCCTTTCTTGATGGGCAGGTGGCCGTGGCAATAATAATTTGACCCAATGGCAAATATTGTCCGAGTGTAACAAAAACTATAAAATCATATGATTTTTTTTTTCACTAAAAAATTTTTTTTTTCGCAATCATTACGATCCTCTTTTGGATGCATTTAATATTTTCTAATCCTTAATTTGAAACAAAATATGTGTGATTCGAAAATCGTTTCCGAATATGACTCATCTCTTTATATTGATATGAATACAATCTCGTTTACATTAAATTTACCATTTATGAATATCCCCTATAACAGAGCCAAGTCCATCTTGTAAATAAATAACAAACAATCCGATAAATAATTATTTACGTGAGAAAAAAAAAAAGGATGCTTTTTTTTTTTTTTATACATCGATCTTTAATTCCATAAACCGTTCCATTGTAAAGATGTAAATTCTAATAATAGTTTAGCGATTTATTTATCTATTTAATTTTTGCTCAGGTGATAGTTCTATGAGCACTTATTGAACCAAATGCTATAAAACTTTTCACACATTTTTTAATATAACCTAACTTTATTAGTTTATGATTTAGCAAGATGGCATTTATATTGTTTAAGTGGCAAACAAAGTTGCTTGCCTAAGCCTCAAAATTCCAAGCATTCATTATTCCCTATTTTTAACATTGAGGATTTAGCATCGATTACATTATTTTTGTCATCACTTTTTTTTTTTTTTTTAAAAAAAAAACAAATATTCACTTTAAACCATCTACATGAGCTCGAACGTTTGTAATTACTGATAAAAAATTTTGTTTTATTTATTTGATGAAAAATAGATTTTAACATTGTACCTTTCTAATTCTTTACTAATTACCAACGTTATTTTGACTTCGCAATAATTTATCTAACATTTAAAATTGTATCTCGCATTTCTCTTTAATTAACGTATTTTAATTAGTTTATTGCGTTCCACAACTGAAAAAGAAAAGTTTTTCTATTCGCGATGGACGTTAGTGTACCGGTAAAAGTCCTTGGAAGATCTGAAAAATAAATTTTAAGAATTCCTGGTATGCAATACCTTGAGCAACCACACGCAAAATTTGCAAAATACTTTAAACATTGAATCTAAACATCGAGATGTTATTGTGTAAAGTTTTTTTATATTGTTGATTATAGATAATATTAATATTTTGTTTTGTTTCAAGATCTATTAATTATTTGCTTGGCAAGGAATAAATAAGATTTTCCAATCGTGCGACGCTATACAACATTATTGCAAACATCTGATTAAACATCATGTTGGAATAGGTTCTAACCCATTTCATTATAAAAACAAATAGATGCATAATCCCGATTTACCTTAAATTCTTTACCACCTTTTTGTTAAATCAAGAATTACAATGTAAAGAAATTTTTTTATAATTCTAGAGGCCTGATGTCGATTTTCAGAGTTAGAGATAGAAATGATAATTCGCGTTTTGATATTTCCAAATTAATATTTCTTTTTTTAATAAATAAAAAAAAAAGATTACGTTTATCGATGTTTCATGAGAAGTACATAATATAAGTTGTGTTCCCAGGATGGATATAGTTACAAAGATGGAAATTATAACAAAGAAGAAACATCGATATGTTAGGTCATTAGGTGGTACATAACAAATAAAGATATCGATACGTTATCGATTACGAAATATTTTTTTTTTATCGATTTATTTCGTTTTTTTCTCGTTTTCGTTTTATTTTCATTTTTCATTTTTCATTTTCATTTTCATTTTCGTTTTCGTTTTCGTTTGTTTCTTTTTTTTAAAGTGTTGATCTTAACACCTTAAATAATAAATCGTTTATATTATTTTGTTCCAATGTATTTCTAGATGTGAAAAATGTTGATTTATTTATTTACTTATTATGCAGCAGTTTGGGAAATGGATGCTTGGTAAAAGGATGAAACAAAATGAACTCCATATGTTATCATTGTATCTTCTTTTTTTAAGCTTATCAGAACAACATTACGTGAATCTGCGTTTTGTAGATGACGTCCTTGATTTTATATACATGAAAATATTTTATATTTACCAAAAAATAACATGATAATTAACAAAGGATCAAAGAAAGTAACATGCAAAAGGATAAACTTAATACATAGAGTATCATATAAACAGGGTACAATTTGTTACACTACATCCGATATTCCAAGCATAATCATAATTTTGTGAGACCCACGCGTCATTTCCTTAATTGTAAGCAACATCAAAAGTTTAAAAGTCGAACCTTTTCAATATAATAATAGTATTTTACTTCTACCCATACTCTAAAAAAAAATACCACATGACAATTTTTTGTCACACCGTTTTAAAACTTCTCCAGGCTCCTTGCTTCCTACGCTTTGAAAATCTTTACAAAAAAGGAATTGATCAAAAATTTTCTAGATCATAATAACCGAGAATTAGATCTATAAAATCCGCTAGAGGTATTTTTAATTTTAAAAAAAAAAAAAATTAAAAAAGCAACGTTTTTGTGCTTGATCTTTTGAATTTATTCATTTCTGAATTTATTCATTCTATCATTTTATCATTATGAGTTCATTCAATAACGAAGTAAATTTCATTTCTCACTTACGTAATTTTATTTTATTAAATAAATATTAAATTATTTTTTTTTCCTCTCTCTCCCTTTTTAAGATTAACGACTTTATCAAGGTTAATATGGCAAGGTTAGAGGGAAATTGTTCATCTCCATTTGCGGAAATCAGCAGGCTGACAAATTATCAATACAGCGCTAGTCGTTTATACCACCAGTGAGTAATAATGAAATCAAAATGATATCTAAAGGATTTGCGTACCAATAAATTTGTTCTAAAAATGGAATTTTTTTTTTTTTACAATACAAATATCATTTAGCTGGCATCACAATCTTAATTGGAGGCGTATGTAAAACCTCTTTTTTTTTTTCTTGAGTTTTAAAAAATCAAAAAATTGAAAACTAATAAACTAATTTTCTCATTATTTTTAATCCTGATTAGTTTGTCATGATCCTTTAACCCAGGAGGAAAAAGATTACATTAATGACTGGGTACGTCAACGTCGACTACCTAATGGTGCAATTCGGTGGTCCGTCTTACAGAAAGACATGGAGCAGATGTTTTTAAGATTACACAATACCAATAAAATCAAGAATTATTGGAGATCCAACCAAAATCGTATTTCACGAACCGCCACCACAACAGCTGTAATGACAAATCCCGCTCCTTCCCTACCTTCTTCACATGTCTCGATACCAGTTTCTTTTCTTGTGAATGATAATAGCACGACTTCCCCTTCTCCAACGGTACTTTCTCCTATTCCGCAAACTTCACGATCCTCCGTGCCATTTATCATGGAGCCCAATTTCACCCCCGAACCTCAATTTAATGTGCCGTATGGAATGAGACCGTTCTTCTGAACGGAAAAAAAAAAAGTTCATTTTTTTCTTTCTTTTTTTCTTTTCTTTCTTATTTTTTTTTTTTCTTTATTGTTTATTTGTACCTTTTGTTACTTTGTGACAAGGAAGGCTGGTCCGTTTGTCATAGTTGTACATGCAAACGTGCAGATATAAATAAAAAAAAAAAATAAATAAACATAATTCGGTAAATTAATTATTATTCATAACGGTAACGTGTATATCTACGTGATTTACGCGACGCCGGAGCTTGAATCTATTAATTATCTAATTTATCTCGTATTTATCGTTGAAAATCCCTAATAATATTGTTTTTATCATCAGTGAAATAAATCATGTTAAAAAAAAAAACCGCAGCAACCTCAAGTATCATGTGATACAAAGTACAGATCCAAAAACAATGTGACAATGTGATTTTCATTTCACAAATAATATTATGATAATATTATGACGGACTATAAATTTTGGTATCGGATGCTTCCAAATAAACAAATTTGGTAACGATTTATTCGTGCTAATAGGAGCACGATGATCAACACACACACACAGACGTTTTTTAAAATACAAGAACGATTTTTTGAATTTCATCAATCCATCTCAGGATGATGAACAACCCGGAAGGATTTTCGAATGAAAAAAAAATATATTATACGTAAGGAACTCAGCCTTATTTAAAAAGAAAATGTCTCTAGGTGGGGGTTCTGTCACTATAGATTTGAACTCTTTTAAATTATGCTAAGATTCATCGGCCAAAGTTTCGAAAAATGAGACAAGATAACTTACAAATGATTTCCTCATAGTCTATAACCAACTTTGTGGCAAAATAAATTCTTTACGACTTAGAAACAGGAATGAAAAAACTTTGATAAAGTGGTTGGAAACAAACCTTACATTTCTATGTAACTTGAAATTAGGAAACGAAATCAAAACTCATAATCACAAAATAACATGCAGGGAAAATAAAAATTCAAAAAAAAAAGGAATTTTGAAAATTATTTTTTTTTTTTTTTTATAATCAAGTCTGGTGAAAAAGGAAGCTTTGACATAGATAACGATATAAGATGGAGAGAACCGTGAAGAAAATTAAAAAATTCACTAGGTTTATTTTTTTTTATCATCCTTTGCGGTACAGCCACCACAGCCACTGGAGCATTGTAGCCGTCAGCCACAACTTTTTGTTTAGTAATACAGTTGCAATAATTGCTTAGTAATGCTTATCAATAAAAATCATATGATTCAAAATCTCCTCTCATTGCATCGCTGGCTAAAGCAAGGAAAGATCACAATCACTGCTATAACATCCTTTTCTGGTACTCGCCTTTATAATATATCTTCTCTTCTTCCAGAGATGACTTCTCAAAATGTCATTAACACCACTACCACTACCACCGCCACTACTAAAAAAAGGTTCCTCTATGCTTGGTAGTGTTGGCCTTTTGAACTAATTGACTTTTGGACCATTGGAATATTGGATTAATGGACTTAGTCCATTCCAATTCCATTAAAATTTGGACTATTAGACTATAGACTTCTATAAATTTACATATAATTTTAGCAATATGTTCATGATATTTGTTAGAATTTTATTAAATTTACTTATTATTACTTAATATAAAATTTGACAAATAATTAGGTTCCCCTAAACTCTCAATATAAATATCTAGATGTTTTCATTTAGAATTTTGATCTCTAGCTGAGATGAGGTAAATTTGAAATGTTTGTAATATTAATTTTAAGCTTACTGTCATCTGAAAATCAAGGTCAGTTTAGTAGGATCATTCTAGTTAAATGAATTTATTATCGATTGATTATTTAAGCAGAACAAATTTATTATCATTCAAATTTTTAAGTTAGGCTAGCATTATTAATTTGGCCAGAATTATAAATATAAAATTATAATTTGGCCAAAATTATATAATCATAATCCATTTTAATTGGAAATGGGTTGGACATCTTTATTAGATTTAAAGTCCATTAGTCCATTATTAGGAATTAGACAATGTCCAATTCCAATACTGATACTCAGATCTTTAGTATCAAGTAAAAAGAAGACCTTAAATTGAAAAATAACTCTTTAGCTCCCAATTTTTAACTTATGAATTTGTTAACAATATCAGTTTAGGTATCTACTTTAAATGATTAAAACTTAAGACCTTAATGAAATGAATAAGTTACAGAATAGACTCAGAAATTGTGATTACCTATCATGATTAACTCTGCCAATTTACCTTTAACCTTATTCAGCATGTACTCTTTCTTTACACTACAAAACACATATTTCTCTTTAATAGTACAACTTTTAATAAGTACGAATTTTTTTAGAATATTCTTGTAATTAACACTGTCTATATCTGTCAAATGCAAGGAAAAAGTGCTGTCCTACATCAATGAGTACGTCAAAATAAACAAAATAAGTAAGAAGAGAAAAGCTAATGCAACAAGGATATGTACTAAATGACGTTCAGAAAAAACTCTCAATTGTATACTACTAGTTAAGATATATCCTAACCAGCATAATAAACTTACTTATATCACCTTATTGTTCATTTATCGATTATACAGTCCCCGCCAAAAGTAATGGCGGTCAATTTTTATAACTTAAACCATGCGATTTATTAATAAACCCAATTAA